AGCAACTAACAAGACTATTCATAACATATAAAATAAAAAAGACAACTCTCATATTGATATTCTGGAGCTTTTCCTTGTGATATGAGATTGAGTTCGGTTACTCTTGGATTTGAGGTTCGTGTCCCACAATAACTTCCTCAGAGAGAATGGCCATGTTGGATTTGAGGTTCGTGTCCCACAATAACTCAATCCTAAATACAGGTACAGAAGAAACAGTAGATGCGAAGGAGATAGTGCACGCACCTTTGCCTGTCTCATCAGCTCAAGAACCACACCATCACATGCAACCCTCACCTGTTGTTCGTCCATCAGATCTAAAGGAGCCCCCTTTTGCATATGGAAACCAGGGGGCTGGTCCAATAACCAACCTTAGCGACCAACCTCTAGAATTTGCCCCTGGTTTTGGTCGCAATCATGACTCGCATGTGCAATCCAGTTATGTTGGTGCTGTTGATTCCTGGACCCATTCTGCTGCTTCTAGCTCTGTTTATCATTCAGTTGTCCCCCCAGGTTCCCAGGTATTACTATTAGGTTTGAGGTGTTATTTTTTTCATTCACCGCCAAAGGGTTTTACTTATCTGCTTAACTTTTGTTTCTTCTTCAGTATGATCCTTCAGTGGCTATGCCTTCTGCTTCTGGCCATGCTGCACCACCATTTGGAAGCTTTACCGGATCAAGTTTTCAGTCAACACTTCCATCCAATGGTGCACCATTTGGCCTTGGAGTTGGCGGAGTACTTCATCCTTCTTCAGGCTATGCAGGTGATGGGTATGGAGTTCATAACATTTCTGATCGCCCCAAAAAGGTGTAGTATGCTCTCTAACCTAGTTCCTTTCCATTTGAAACGATCATTTTCACATTGGTTTCATTTTCTTCCAGGCTTCTGTGCCTAACTGGCTTAAAGAGGAAATCATTAAAACTGCATCAGTCATCACCAGATCTTCTGTGGAGAATCCTAAGGAAGGATCACTGGCCATCGTTGATGAAGAATTTGATGAATCTTTTCGGAAGGGTGATCTAGGGGATAACAAAAGCATTGATTCTTCCAGGTCAACTGAAGAAGAAGATGATGATGAGGTCCGGATTTAATTTTGTCCATTCCTTTTCTGTCTTCGTGTGAATGTTGCTTCACTTCTATTTTATTGATTTGGTTAAGTCTATTGGATATACATATGTTTCTTCTTTCAATTCTTTAATCTTCTGGCTTTCATAATTCACAGGATGAAGCAGAAGCTGCTAGGACTGCTGCAGTAAACCTGGAAATAAAACGTATTCTGACTGAAGTTCTGTCAAAGGTTTGTTGAGAAAAAAACTACCTATTTTATATTTTCCCCAATTTTATTTAATTTATAATTTTCATAATTCTTTGGGTAGGTCACTGATGAGCTATTTGACGAGATCGCGACGAAAGTTTTGGATGAAGATAATCAGGCAGTGGAAGGTAATTTGACATGACTCTTCACTCAGGGTGTTATACATATTGGACTTCACTCTATTTCCTCCCGTCACCTTGTAACCCTGCTGGTGAATCTTCTGGTTTTTGTAGTTGATCAAACGAATGTCAGTTCAAATCATAAGGTATCGTCATCTCCTTCGGTAATGTCAACGCACAAAGCTTCTGCAGATGTTGTAGTCCCAAGTACAGTCAATGACCCTAAAACAGAAGGTGGTGAAAACTCCAGTGCCAGCTCTCCCACTGGAAATGTTCTAGGTCTTGCAAATTATTCATCTGATGAAGATGATGATGACGAGATTAGGGGTGCTGACATTGGAAAATTACAGAATGGTAGTCATATTTCTGGGCAGAAAGCTACTCCACAAGAAAATATTTCGATTTCTGACTTCATTGGGGAAGGTGGTCAGACCACTAAGCAACCTGCAGACAATGCTTCTTTGGCAGTGGATAGTATAACAACCTCAGATCAAGATAACAAGAGAAGCTTGTCCAGTAAAGACCTAATAACTAAAGAGGTAGCACATAGGAGCATGGAAGAGAAGGTAGATGACAATAATAGGAGACAAGATAAAAGGCATTCGAGAACCGAAAGGTCAGAAAGTCAGAGTGGCTCTAAAATGAAAACGAAAGATAGAGGTGATGTGATTGGAGAAAGAGGCAATGAACCAGAGTCAAGAAGGAAGTCCTCTCAATCTGATGCCAAAGATGATTCTAGCAGAAAAAGGGAAAGAGCAAAGGAGAAGAAGGAAGATCGAGGGAGGCATAAATCAGAGAATGAATCGTCGAGGAGCAAGAGAAGGCGCTCATCTTCTGTCAGCAGTAAGGGAAGACACAGCAAGGATGATGGTTCCAGTGACGAGGAAGGATCAGATGATTCCAAAAGGTTTTCTCTTAGCATATTTGAGCATTACTTGATTTTAATATGCTTTGCTTATTTAAACATTGAGGCCAAAAGTTCTGTCCTTGTCTGCAGGAGGCAACGTTCAAGAAGACAGCTGTCCCCATCACCTGTTAGGTCAAAAAGAAGGTATCAATTTAATACAATGTATGTTTCGACTTGACTAGCCATTATATAATATTTGAAAGAATGTGTGTGAGTGATTTATCTTCTTAATTTTGGAATGTGTTCTAAGGTTGCCATCTGGTAAGTCCCTTGGAACAGTCCCTCTCTTACCATCTAATAATCTCTGGATGGAAGTAAAAGGTTGCATGGTGATTTTCATGGCATCAGCTAGATGCTCGTGGATTGTTGCATGGCTAACCTCTCCTCTGTTTTTGGCACGCTCTGACCGTCTAACTTGGTTCAAGGATGGTTAATTATCATAGATTTGTGGTCTGGATCATGTACTTCTGCTCTTACTTCAATAGTTTGCATGCTGTTCACTGTTCGGAGAACTTTTGAGCCTACTATATTGAGTGAGAATCAGGTTGTTGATGTTGAGTGAGAATCAAGTTGTTGATATTGTTGCCTTTGGGGACTAGGTCATGGTCTTCGGCCTTTCTTTTAATATAGCAGCGTGTCTCCATGAGTCTTGAGTTATGCAAAGATTGAATGCCAGGATATGAAGAAAATATTGTACAAGGACTTCCATTCCTAGTTCATAGTTTTTAGCTTGTGCTGTAATCAATTTGATAGAGTGGAATTCCTAGTGTTTGTAGCAGCTGCAAGGCTTACCTTCTTGGGGATTCCTGTGTAGAGTAGAAATGGCTATCCATTTCTCCTCTTAGAGTTGTATGTGTTTAACTCACAAATCAAGTATGATGGGTGTTTTCGTTTCTAGACAAGTTTCGAGGTCACCTCATAGCAAGCATTCTCAGCGCAGGCATTCTCCCTACTCTTCTTCTCTTGAGACCACCAGGTATGTTGCTCTTATTTCTTCTTAATAGATTAAGATTGTGTTTGTGTTTTTAGGAACATACAAACCCATACTATGAACCCAGGTGAAAAGCATCAGCCAGCTTTTTAATTCTTCAGATTGTGGTTGGATTGAACCAAATGTGTTAATAGTACCAATCTTTTTGCAGGGGAAGGAGGTCAAGATCAAAATCACCAGCTAGGCGGCACAGATGATTCCTGCCAAAGCACCATTCTGGCTATTTTACGATGATGATGATGATGCATGGGTGCCAATGTATGGAACCAAGTGATCTGATTGTAAGGGTTCTGCTATGCAGATCTGGTGGAGAGAACTATGATGCACGATTCACAGAACCCCAATTTTCCCTTCTAGCATTTCCTTGCTAAGAGAGTATTGTATATGATGTTCTGTAAGTCGAGTTACGATCAGGAAACATGTGTACTGTAGTGTTATAATGTGTTGCTGCATCGTTTGCTTGAAAATAGAGCGACATTTTTTTGTGGTGTTGGTATGGTATCTTCGTAAATTTGGCTCGTGTTATATGGTTCCAAAGTCCCCCTAAATTCTCATTGCTGATGGCCATGGTTAAAAGCCAAAAAAGAGGCTTGCTGTTCGTCCTTGGCTTAGAATGGTTCATCAATCTACATTTGTTCTGTTCAGCCACCACCCTTCTGCTTTCTGTTGTTCTGGCTCGCAGGTTTCGTTTGATTCCACCATTGACTGTCAAGAAATCGTAATTTTGGATTCAAACCTGCTACCTTTTTTGCTGAAAAAACTGTAGGTAATTTGCTCATCTGGTGAACCTGTTTTTTGCTCGGTGCTTCTTTCAAAGGGTCCTTGGGACATCATTCTCTCATTCTGTGGTTGAAAGAATTGCAGGCATTCGCCACTAGGGTTGCTTGTGAGCAGCTCGGCGTTCTGTTTGAGAAAAGGTAGTTCGGTATTCAATTAGTTTACTAATGTGCTGAACTTTGAGCTAAGTTTTGTTCGGCTTGCAAGGCTCTTGGCTCGACTTGGTGACTTGTGGAGCTCCATTTGTGAGCTGGCTCGTTTGAGCTATGAGTTGACTCGACAGAAAGGCTAGCAAGCCACCTCAACTACTAGCAACTAGCAATTTATATATCTCACAACATATAATCTTTAAGAATTTGAGCACATGATTGAATAAGTCTAATTTATAATTTAAAAGAGAAATTATAAATTGCTCAAATACTAATTATTATCAAATAACAAAAAATAAATAATTAAAATTATGAACTAAATGATATAATACTTGAGCTCGAGTTGATTTCCCTAGTTAATTGATAAGCCGAATTCGAGTAAATCTCGTGAGCTACTAATGAACCGAGGTCTGAGTTAAACACAAATCCTGAATTTTGTAAACAAGTTGAGCCCGAAATCAACTTGATTATTAACCAACTGTACTTAACCTAGATCAAAACTCTGGACGCCATCACACGGGGGAAAATAACTTTCTTTGCAGGGAGAAGAAGAAAAAACAAGAAAACGAACTGCAATAGCAATAGCAATAGGCTAAGCCAAAACATAAATCAAGGCCCAAAATAAAAATCTCATTTCCAAGCCCAAGAAGTTCTCCGTTTCCTCCTTGGATAACAATTCGGCCAAGCCCACTGCCTTTTCTTCTTATAAGTACACGCAAACTCGCTAAAGCCCAAACCACGCACAATAACATGACTCTCCACGCCACCGCCGCAACTTCTGTTCCGCCAGCCGGCGGCGGCGGCGGCAATACCAACAACAGCGTCAACATCCAATACTCTGCCAAGATCACCCACGAACAATTCTGGCTGCGGGTCCAATCCATCCCTTCCACAATCCAATTCAGGCTCACTCACCCCTCCTCCTCCGATCCCGCGGCCATCTCCGCCGCCGACATCGGAGAATCGCAGTTCCTCGACGGCGTCGACGACAAGTCGCACGAGGTCGTCGCGCAGCTGCTGAAGTGCTCGCCTCTGGCGGCGCGGATGGAATACGAGGATCGCGAAGCTTTGATCTGGGAGATAATCGACGCGACCTGCGACATTATCATTGACAACGGAGGAGGAGTCGGCAGCGCGATTAGCAAAATCTGGATTGTGAACGTGGAGATTGAACAAGAACAACAGAGTGGTGGTAATAGTGGTTACGAAGACGGAGGAAGAGAAACGCAAAACGGCGCCAGTTTGAATGGGGTTGAGAAAGAGGCGGAGGAGACGGCGTCGTTGGGTCGGTGTGCGATCTGTTGTAAAGGGATTCCGGTGACCTGGTCGAAGGATTATTGTCCCGATAAGAATTGCCCCAGTCGCCGCGTTGAGGTGCCCACTTTGTGCCTTCAAGTTGTTTGCTGAATTGCTTAGCTGACTTCAAGTTGCACAATGTCATTGGTTGATTGATTTCCACTGTTTAGTGAAGGAAACGTTTCTATTCTCTTCGGTGTTGTGGTTGATTGTCTCTTTCAAATAGTGGTCTAATAAACTCGAAGTTACGGTTCTAATGCATAGATGTTAGGACTTTGGATGTTCGGACTAACGCGCTTATCATGCCAGAACTTCGATGTACATTATGATCATAGTAAAATTGTCTTTGTTTCTATTCTCTTCAGAAATGTGTCATGTTTGTTTAGTTATTATGTTACCCCTTGTTGGATGTTGAGTCAACCATTGATTCAAAAAATCATTCATATCTCGAGTCAGACTGTGATTCTAGGACATCTTTGACGTTAGCATCTTCTAATTAAGGCTCTAATCGATCTTGATGGAACAGTTTAACTCCAATGAATAATCTTTCATTTCTCATGGTGGGTGATTATTATTATGGGTTGGAGCCTTGGAGGCAATGTTATGTAATTAAGCCAGCTATGTTCAGTTTGGGAACTAGAAAATAAGATTCGCAAAAGGATCGACAGTTCTGTTCTGAAAGTGGCTGCCAATTAAAGGGTGCCTAGAAAAGGGAGGCAATACTGAGATCTGGACGTTGAAAAGGAAGTCAACAGAAGCACTCTCTCTGACTTTGTTTCTCCGATCTCAAATGGTCATGGCGGTGGAGGAAACCAGATTAAAAGGAGAGAGAGCATGAAATGTGGAGGGGAGACGTGATAGTGATGGCGATCCTCACATGTCACAAGGAAGGCAACTCTCCGTGTCGGCAGTGGCGAACGGTAATGGCGGCCTGGTGGGGTTCGTTACGCATTCCATTTATTTATTGCTTCCTTTTCAGTTAAAGTTGCAATTCGTCTTTCTCTTCTCTCCTCCTTTTCAGAGTCCCATGTACAGAAAAAGAACGGTGATTTTGACCCGATTTTCGCCACTCCCAGTTGCAGAGAACAATGAAGGTCTCATCTCTCTCTTCTAGTTCCTTCTCCGTTTTCCCCTCTTAGTCTCTTACTTCGTAAAGTTTGTAACTTTTCATCTGCTTTTTTTCCCTTAACAACAGCCTCTGCGAGTGGGTATATGGTGGATTTGGTTATACGGGTCCTTGCTTATTGTTCTCTCCATATATGCTACCCGCAAGCTACCTTCACTTCAGGATGCAATCACAAGACCCGGTTTTAATCCTGGAAAATACTCGGTGGATTCAAACAACCCAAATATCACTGTATTCTCTGCTACTACCTCCATTGGTCCAAAGCAAAGCCTTGCTGTTCGTTCATGGCTTGGTTTGTCTCCTCAAATCACAGTTGTTCTGTTTAGCCAACACCCTTCTGTTCGCTCTTTCGCCTCGGGCTTTGGACTCCGGGTTTTGGTTGATTCCACCATTGACTTCACGTAAGCTATCATTTCAAAAGCTGCTTCCTTTGTTTACTGACATTGGAGGTGTTAGTAATTTGCTTATCTGGGCAACTTGTTTGTTGCTTGGTGCTTCTTTTGAAAGGTTCCTCGGGACGCCATTCTTCCATTCCATGGTGGAAAGATCAGAGGCATTCGGCACAGATATTGTCGTCTTTGTAGATTCTCAAACCGTTCTTCTGCCTGATCTTGTCCCCGCTTTGAATTTTGCTCACAAGCTCGACGGTTACTGGCTTCTTGTGGCTTCATTACAAGAGACATCCTTCTTCCCGTTCAAATTGGGAGGTGATGGTCAACATTGGCTTACAGAGAACGGGAAAAGGTTGGAGCTTGATGAGGTATGAATTGAAAGTTATTAGTTCAGAGTGAAAACTGGAAACCCTCTTGAATCAGCATGCTGACACCACTCTCTTAATTCCCTTTTAGTTGCAGGAGATCCTTGGCCAGAATCGGCATTGCCATGATAGGAGTATACTTATGGCCTGGAATTCAGGAAATGTGCCTTTGCACAATGGAGTCCTCCCCCCTTTCTTGTTTGCTAAGGGGATTCACAACCACTGGCTTGTTAATGAGGTTGTGGCTTCCGAACTGAGACTTGTGCTTGATGCTAGCTCGGTCATCTCAGGCGCCTTCCTTAACAATCCCGATCGAATAGAGAGGACTGACAGTAGGTTAGTTATGGAGAACAGAAGCTGGGAGGCAGTTGGCAACTCACACCTTGGTACATTATATGGGTCATTGCTCTTCCATGAAACCAACTATTCCACCTTGGCAAAGCTTGTAAAATGTGATGACCAGTATCTTGTCCTTGACGGCACTGAAGATATAGTGAGGAATAGAAGGGCTTTGTCTTCACAGAAAAGGAAGAGAGTGATGGGTTGTGTTGAACATATCAAGTTGAGGAAGCCATTACTGGATTGCGCGGTTGGAGATCAGTTGAGGTATTTGCAGCCTTTGGAATACCAAATTTCTTTGGAATTGCTGCTTGCAATAGCTGCTGATAAGACACAAACAGTTGTGCTTGCAATTGCTGGATATAGTTACAAGGACATGCTGATGAGTTGGGTTTGCAGATTACGCCGCCTGAGGGTCACCAACTTCGTCATTTGTGCTCTGGATCAGGAAACATTTGAGTTTTCTGTTTTACAGGTATGCTTCATTCTTTTTGTTTTTACTAAAAATCTCAACCTTGCTGCATTTATGACTCGTAGAGTAAGGGAATGTGTCTCAAGAAGCCATAAGGCTGTAACAGAGCCCTTTAACGAAAGGGAGCACTACTGAGTTTTCCCGTGGGAACATATATTACCCCCATCGAATGGTGATTGGGATAGCTTCTTTTGGTTGATTTAGCTACATTTTTCAATTTTACCTGGTTTGACATTCTCCTTTGCCAAAATACTGTTGCTGTATGTACCTTAACTGTAAAACTTCTCTACCAGGGTTTGCCTGTATTCCATGATCCATCAGCACCAAGTAACATCAGCTTCAACGATTGCCACTTTGGAACAAAATGCTTCCAGAAGGTCACAAAAGTAAAATCCAGAATTGTTCTGAATATTCTGAAGCTGGGTTACAATGTACTTCTCAGTGATGTAGATGTCTACTGGTTCAAAAACCCACTGCAATATCTCCACTCATTTGGTCCAACCACTCTCGTCGCCCAGTCCGATGAATACAACAAAACAGGACCTATAAACTTGCCTAGGCGTCTGAACTCTGGCTTCTACTTTGCTCATTCTAATGCTCCAACAATTGCTGCTATCGAAAAGGTGGTGAATCATGCATCCACATCAACCCTTTCTGAGCAGCCAAGCTTCTATGATATGCTGTGTGGGGAAGGTGGATCGAACCGAATCAGTGATGATAGATGTCTGGAGCCAGAAACGAATATTACTGTTCATTTTTTGGATAGAAACCTCTTCCCCAATGGTGCATACTTAGACCTTTGGGAGAAGCCCAATGTGAGAGAAGCTTGCATGAAGCAAGGCTGCTTTGTTCTTCACAATAACTGGATTAGTGGAAGGTTGAAAAAGCTTGAGCGCCAAGTTTTATCAGGCTTGTGGGAGTATGATAGTAGCAAGAGGATGTGTTTTTCTTGCATCACTCCAAATTCCAGCAGCTCATGAAAAATTGTCCCTTCTGAAGGAAAACTTTGTTTTTCAAACTCCTTTCCCCCATTCAGCTTTGAAATCCACGTTTGGTGAGGAAGAAGACAAAGATCAGGCTTCTTGTTGTTGGTCGTGGAATCCAAGCCTGTAGCTTGATTTCATCAAATGTCATTCTTCTAGTGATATTCACCTTCTTATTGGATAATAATGTTCAGTTAGCACAGAATTGACGAGACTTACTCGAACTGGGGATCGCAGGCTGGCAGAAATGTTGACGGGTTCTTGTTGTTGCTTTCTGGATAGTGGAAAAAAGTCAAGAAGAAGAAAGCATGAGCTAATAACAGATGAATTGGCAGGTGGTGGAGCTTCAGTTTCAGTGGAAGTCAGTGCTGACTCCAAGGAAGTTTCTGTGAGGATAGTTCATCCAGGGGGGAGGGAGGAGAGTTTCCAGTACGCTCTTCCAGCACAGCAAGTCATGGAGAAGTATCCAGGGACTCGTGTTGCTAGGCCAGATGTTTTCCAGAATCCTGAAGATTCCATTCTGTGGCCAGAAGAGATTCTGCTGCCTGGCAACAAATACCTGATCATTTCATCGACCACAGCTGAGAAACTGAAGCACCACAGAAGACATCATCATCATGGGAGAACGACAAGAGAAAGGCCGGAACTTTGTGACAATGAAGACACCATATCTTGTGCGAACATAACTTGGGATGAACAAGATATTTCGGAGGAAAACGTATGCCAAGCAAGAGATTTCTATGCTTCAAAGGATAGGTGGTCGAGGTGTTCGGAGAGGAAGACAAAGAACGTGAGGTCTAGAAAAAGACAACCTTTTGTCCCTCCTCTTCCGAGGTCAAGAAGTTTCAAAGGTTCGAGCTGGGAGCCTAGCCTTACTTCCGTACAGGAGCTCTCTCCGTGAATGAAGTTCTGACTGGTTTTCTTTTACAAAAATGAAACAAAAAGGACTGATGTCTTCCTGGTATGTTGCCTTCCTCCTTTTCCAGGCTCTTACCTGCCAGGCTGCCACACTACTTTTGAATCATCTGTCTATTTTTGCTGTTTCTTCCATGCAGGTTTTGCTTTTCTTTTGTTCTCGCGCGAAAAGAATCAGTCTCTGATGATGATATGTAGAACCAACTGCAATAACTTTGACTATATGCCATTTAGTGCTTTATGATTTTTGAAGTTCCTTGGAGTACAATCTTCTCTCTGTTCTGTGACTTTTTTTGAATGGGGAGCTTCTGGGCTTGAACTTCTACTAGTCAATGCTCTATTAATATCCAGACCTAAATCTTTAAACTTCCAATTTTATGATTTCAGGGGCCAAATAGAAGTAGTTTAGAACCGCTTAAAGTCTCGATTCTGACAATTATACTACTCATTAAGCAATGCATATTCTTGTTTGCTCTCTATGTACCAGAGCAATTAACAACACAGAACTTCAATCCAAGTATGGGCAACTAATTAAGTCTTAGTACTAAGCATCATGTTGTGTAAAAACTGCAAGACAACATATGTTGTCAGCAAGTACCATCATAATACACATCCTGAAGACTGGACAAACCCATAATAAGATGCTTCAGAAATTTCCTCCAAATACAATGTGCCATCCATGGTAAAGGAGATATATTTAAAGGTCAAAACTCAACAGTAATCAGGTCTCTCAGAATAAATTAATCTGACGAGCTCACAGTATTATCCAAGAAGACAAAACCTTGGTGAAGATCCAAGTGTAGAGCACTGCAAATGTACCACCAACTGGAATCGTCACTATCCATGAAGTCACAATCTCTCTCACGGTCTCAGCTCGCACACTGTTTAACCCTCTGGCAAACCCCACCCCCATCACAGCCCCTACAAGAGTATGGGTTGCCGAGATAGGGAGGCCGAGTTTTGATGCACCAAGAACCACTGAGGCTGCAGCGAATTCAGCTGCAAAGCCTCTCGTCGGAGTAAGCTCAGTGATCTTCTTACCGATCGTTGCTATCACTCTATACCCCCACATCATAAGCCCAGCAACTATACCAAATCCTCCCCATGCAAGGACATCCAGCGGGATCACAATCTCGGCGCCCCCACCAGTTGCACTGCCGTGAAGAATCGACAATGCCCCTGCCAGTGGGCCTATTGCGTTCGAGACATCGTTGCCTCCGTGTGCAAATGACATGAAGCAAGCTGATAGCACTTGCATGTAACCAAAAACACCATAGACTATCTCGAGTTGTGTGCCAGTTGGTCCAGCAATGTCGGACAGGAAGCCGATAGGTTCGGAGTTAGGGTCAGATTGTGATGAAGAAGAGGTGGCAGCTTTGGCTAGGAGAGGACCAAGCTGTTTGTGGATGATCTTGGAAACTATGAATGCTCCAGCAGCTCCACTGGCTAATGCTTGTAAGAGAGCAATGGGAAGGGTCTTGCTTAGAGGGAAAGCTGCAAATGAGATTCCAGAAACGCCCAGGAAGACTGCTACTGGTGCTGCTGTTGCTGCAGCTTGTCCTGGGTTTGGTGCACTGTACACAAACTGCATCGAAACCGGAAGCCTGTTACTTGGGGTGAAAGCGACTCAGTTCATAAGTACAGATTGAATGCCAAAACATCATTACCCTACGGATGCATTTGTAGACTAGGAATGAGACAGCTGCTCCCAAGACTGGGGAGATGACCCATGATGAGGTCACTCTGGCTAGTGAACTCCAGAAGACGGCACCAGATCCTCCGTAGACTAGACCGAACCCAACCATTGCTCCAACGATGCAGTGTGTAGTTGAAACTGGCCAGCCATAGTAAGAGGCAACCTGGAAAAAAGAAGGGAAACTTGAACGGAAGGTTGATTGAACAACTCGGCTATAAAACTCGAAGCAATATTAGTTTGTCACCATACATAACCGAGAAGAACAATGCTCAGAATTTGCTAACTATAGGCATTATCTTTCTTCACGTTATGGCCTTTCTGATAACTCTGGCCTCTGATATCATTGTTCTTACCAATCATTTTTTGCTACCCATAAAATATATATGTATACTAAGGCAACAAGCTTTGTAATAGTCCACTCTTTTCGTCTGGAATAGGGTATCTTATTTCATCAATTGGAGGTTCACAGTAAGATTCTAAGAGGGATATACACTAAGGAAGTTAATCTTTACTAGTTGAACAAAAAAAGAAAAAAACAAAGAACCAAAATCCATGAACAAGGTTGTTGCACCAAACCAAAGATTCAGAAAACTAAGAAAGAATGAACTACAGAGTGATGCTAAATGAGAAAAACCGAAGGAAAAGAAATGGTTTACCTGCAACCAAGTACCAGCAGCAGCCAAAGAAGAAAGCAAGCCAGCAAAGAGCAGAGAATCCTTCCCTTGAAACACATTAGCCACTAGGATCCCTTTCTGCATTGTACTGGTGACATGGGTTCCCATCAACAAAGCACCAGAGAACTCCAAAACACCAGCAGTCAACACAGCCTGCCTCAAGGTCAAAGCTCCAGAACCCACAGAAGTGCCCATGGCATTAGCCACATCATTGGCCCCAATATTCCAAGCCATGTAGAACCCAAAAAGCAAAGTTACATAAGACAAAGCCTTGATCTTCAAGCTCAGGCCTTGCCCTAGTGACTTCATGAACAAGGGCAGGCTAAGAGCAGCAAAAGCCATGAACACTGATATGCCAAAAGCTGTTCTTGAAGATATGTGGAAAGCCTGAGCCATTCCAGACGTGTCATCTTCACCACCATCACTTTGTTTGTTTTGAATCCCTTCTTTGTGGTGGTGCTCTTCTTCCCCACCAGCTTCAGCAAAAGAAGATATGCTGGCGAAAGGGAGGTGAAGTTTGGAGCTTTTGAGCCTGAAAATGGGCTGAAACTGAAAAGGCTTTGACTTAAGAAGGGTTTCTCTCTTGGGGAGAGTAGTATCATTTGGGAGTGAAGGGAAGTGGCTTCTTGGCAAGGATGGATGTGAATTGCAGCTGCTATGAAAGAAATGTGCACCCCTTGGAGTGACAATGTTCCTTGTAGAAGACAAGCAGTAGGAGGAAGAAGTCATGGTCTGCCTGCAGAAGCTAAGAAAAACCAGAGAATATATGCAAAGAGAAAGCAAGGTTAGATTATGGAACTGGAGGCATGCTATTGAAGGTTGTTGGCCATGGAGGAATTTGGAGGAGAGAAGGGAAGAAAGGGAGTGTTGGTGGTCATGGAAGAGAGAAATAAGGTTGAGAGTATGCACATCAGATTCTTTTTTGGTTTTCAGAGAGATTGAAAAATATCATTTTTTTGGGTTTTTGAGGGGTTGGAAAAAATGAGAGGGAGAGGCTGGTCCTGGTTAGAATGGATTTGGCTGCCTTTCAAATGAGTGGTTCATGTTGTTTTCTTTTGTTCTTGGTCTCTCTCCACTTGTGCAATCTCAAGATTCCACTATTAGGACAAATGTCCACATTCAGTTTGATACTAACCCTATCCAGATGATGATAAATAATAATGATGAGAATAAAGATAACAATATGAGATGGTTTGGTAAAACGTATAATGCCCTGTTTCTTAATTTCTTTTTCCTATGAAAATAAATGCATTTTAACTCTATATAATTCTTGAATATATAATATAGTTTATTATGCAAATTTTTGGGTTTAATCAAATTTACAATAATGGATGAATTCTCCTTATTTCCCCCTTTTTCCTTATTGCCCCTAACCAAAATAATTCATTTTTTCTAATATACAATGTAGTTATACTTGGGTAATATATGCATAAGTCGCGTCATATCTTGATAATGGAATTTACGGACAATCAATGAGGGACGATCATAATTAAGTTGACAAATTGTTTTCAAATGTAATTGAAACATGATCTGAATAGTTATTTTATTAAGAGCGATATCTAAAGAAATATGTCATAATTATTATGAAGAATCTGTATGGTCCAACAACTCGTCCACTGCCGCTTGTATGGATTCTTCCGACAAAATAAGACACTGGTCCCTGTTTTTGCCTTCTTGAAGGATCACTCGTGCCATTCAGAAATTGAGAAAAGAGGTCAAGAGGATCAATTTAACATAAAAGCAACAATTAGAGTACAAATCGTTTGTTATCAGATAGATGAAATGTTGCTTTTATCTTTCAATAGAATCAATACCCGTGGCTACACCACAGAGACTAAAGTTGCATCAACATGACCGTATGGTGGGCAGTTCAGGTGACGATAAATAGGAACCGTCGTATTATTGCCAATGATGTGAGTTTTAGAGTATTGGAAGTGTGTTCATGAAAAACAGTCAAGTTAAATCAGATTTAGCTAAAATTAATAACCTTGGTATATTAAAGTTCAGAAATAGGATATATTAATTTTGGCAAATAATTGATTTAGTTTGGTCGATAATGGTAATTTCCAGAACTAACTGCCACCAAGAAAGGATACGTTTAAAAATTGATGCTCTCCACATCAATATAGAACCTAGTTGTGGTTGTTTTGATTTGGAGGGAACTTGGTGAGCAGTGTTGCAATTTAATTATATATTAAACATTCAAACATGTAAAGGCATGCTTAAGTTGTAATCTGTATTTACAAACTGTTAGAAATATGAAGCTTTGGGTATCAATACAAATATAAGAAATTGTCCTGCACATTTGCTAAATCCATGGTGTCATTATGATATATAAGAAAATAATAAAATTGTTATCAGATAGATCCAGGCAACATTGTTATCCGATCAAGCTTTAAATTCAGAAACTTCCTAATTATCCTGCTCTGCATTCCATAATACAAATTAAGTCAACATTGCAGTTCATTATACCTGGAACTCTAGGAAAGCAGTAGTGTTATTTCCATACAATTACAGAATGCTAAGAAATAGAGAATTGACAAATTAAACGCATAATGTAGAATGCTTCCATACACAAATACTAAGGCTCATCTTCTATAGAACATAATGTTAGCAGCATTCCTCCTTTTGACTGAAACTTTAGGAGAGGACCTTTTAGCTGAGTAACCTAGAAATCTCACCAAATTTATATGTTGTAGTCCAAATAAGATGCTTATAGTCCAAACCAAAACTCCTCAGCTTCACACTTGCAAACAACAAGGAAAACACTACCATTGAACATTCTAAACAGCTAAATAAGAGTATTGATGAAACAACATCCGCACTCTACAACAAACTGAAGCAAACAACAGAAAATAGACTCATTGGCCAATGAATTGAACCTCTGAGCTGCTAAATAAACATTGACAAAATGACTGGACTTGGCATTACGGATGAGAGAATAACAACCAAAGCTAAAATGGAAATGAGAAAAGAAAGACAAATCCAAACATCGCTGCTATTGTGATGTACTCGTCAAGGCAACCTTTATAACCTTACAAAACCCTCCCTCTCCAAGCATTGTACCATACCCGGAACTAATTTTAATTATATATGAAAACATTGAGCATAACTTTTAAACTAAGGAAAAAGATTAGAAGCAGAATTCTCACATCGAGTTCTGGATGAAGAGTGATCGAACATAAATCTCGTATGAAGCAGAATTTGACACCCCCAGACCTTACAATATGAACACGATCACACATTGCGTAGAGAATTATGATAATTTTATTCTCTCTGACTAGCATTTTGATAAATAACAAAGTAAGAAAACAAAAAAATGGGGGGACTCCATCTTCAAATTCTTCAATCCCTAACACCACCTCTACATTCAGTCCTCGTCATCCTACTACCACCAGTAGCCTTCCTCCCTTTCCACTCCCACCACCCTAGTCGTCGCCGATTTCACACTACAGAAATCTATAGACTACACAGGAGTGTAGAATCCGTAGGAGGTTGAGCTACCTACTGATAGACCGTCATTTACACATGTTTTTACCCTCGTTCTTACACCGTTTGAGGTGTTGATTCTCGTGTTTTAGGCCGATTTCACGCTAGGTTGTGCTTGTTTGTGATATTTCAGGTCCTAGTACGTGAATGAAGGCTTAGGAGCGAGTCTGGGGTCGATTGGACGAAGAATGGACGAATGGCGAGATTTCAAGGAAGCTGCACGGGCAGACCAGGGAGTCGCACGGCCGTGCACGTGAGCAAGATGGCCGTGCGCTTTATGCCGAGGCCACGCACGGGCAACCCCTGAAGATCGCATGGCCGTGCACCCTGGCCGTGCGAGAAGCCTGAGGTCGAACTAATTGATACGCCGCGTTTTGGAGCCGCACGGCCAAGTGGGTGATCTGCACGGCCGTGCGAGTCGGGAAATCCTGGTTTTAGAGCCTATTCCGAGCCAAAAGTGGCAGATTCGAGTTTTGGAGAGACAGAGCGATTCCTAGAGAGAGAAAGCGACGAACAAGAGTCTCCAAGTGCCCTAGATCGATCTTCAACACCATTGGAGCTTGGTTTGAGCTTGGAGAAGTGCCGATTCAACGTCCAGGAGCAGAAATCCATCTTCACAGTATGATTTCCGCGTCTGATTCTGCTTTTGCTTCTTTCTCCATGGAGTAGTTCTCCCATTCATCTGGGTGTGGGAAACCCTAGTTCTGTATGTTGGGATTGATTGTATGAACCCAAGTACTGTTTCTATGAATTGATTATATTCGATTGAGGTTTGAATGATTGAATGGCATGAATCCTGATCAAATTCCTGTTGTTTCTGCTTTAACCTAGAATGAGAATATCTGCCTAGGTTAATAGAGTATCCTTAATTGAAGGTAGTGAATTGGTGACTTTAGTCGAGGAGCCAATTCACTATTCTGTACCGAATTCAATTCGGTAGTGGAGGTTTTGTTCATAGGGCCTCAATCTGTTTACTCCGGTGGAGGTTAGTCGCCCGCTAGAGACTCAGATTGAGAGGGTCTGAAGACCTTTAGTCGAGACTTCAGGCTGATTGAGAACCTTCCGCAGTATAACTGTCATAGAAATTGAACTTGGTAATTACAATCCGGCTTAACTGCAGACTAGGGGGAACCATATCCGGGTGACCTCTCTTAACCTGAAAACAACCGTTTAGTTGCTTTGCTTGCTTGTTAGTTTAGACCTTCACTAAAGTTTTATCGCTAGATAATACGAATTCACTGAGTAGTCATCACATCTAGGACCCGGGTTGACATTGAAACCCAAACCCGCTATACTACGCTTTAGGAAGTGGTTACACTTGGCCATTTTCTAGAGTGACAGTAGGAGTGAGTCAAGTTTTTGGCGCCGTTGCCGGGGACGGCTAGGTTGTTGAAGAAAAGTGATTTCTGTTACTCTAGCATTTTCATTTTCGCATTGAGTGTTTCTTCTTTCCCACTTGTGCCTTCACGGGTTTGCATTGCTTGATTGTGTGCAGATAGTGCATGACTCGTAGCCAGTCGGGAGGTTTACTGCCGTTGGATCCAGAGATTGAACGCACCTGCAAACAACTTCGGCGACAACAGCGAACTAGACTGGCTACGGTGGAGTACAGAGACGGCCAATTGAGCAGCGAATCCGAGGACGAGCGCGAGATGGAGGGCGAAGACATCCCACAACCGGGGAATGCCCGACAGGCTCCCCCGGTGAATCAGCATCCACCACCACCACCGGGTCCCACCTTGGAGTACTACTACACTCCACGGATTGCTGACATCCGCCCGGTCATCCTCTATCCACCCATCCCAGCAAACAACCTCGATATCAAGCCATGCTGGATTCAACTCATCACATCATCTATCCAGTTCCATGGTTTGAAGGATGAGGAAGCCCGGGCACACCTTTCCCGTTTTCTGCAGCTGACGAACGGGTTCAAGCTGAATGGTGTTCCGGATGATGCAATCCGCCTTCACCTCTTCCCCCATTCTCTGGCGGGGAATGCTAAGAGGTGGTTGGAGACCCAGCCTCCTTTGTCCATCACGTCTTGGGACGATCTGGCGGATAAGTTCGTGCACAGATATTATCCGGCATCGAAGACTACTGAGATTCAACAGGAGATCACTCACTTCCGCCAAGAGCCAAATGAGTCCCTTCGTGATGCATGGGAGCGGTACATGGGATACTTCTGGCAGTGTCCCCATCATCGCTTCAGCGATGCTTTCACAGTGGGGAACTTCTACAGTGCCCTCACCCCAGACAGCCAGAGGGTGATCGAGTCTCTATGCCCAGGAGGGGATATTCTCACTAAGACTCCGCCCGAGCTGAACCAGATGATCAGTACCTTGGCTGCCCGCTTTCATTCCTGGGGGCAGAGCAACAGAGGCAGGCATTCCCGGGACCGTGGTGTGCATGCCATGGAGGCCAGATCCGGGTTAGAGCAGCAGGTGGCTGAGTTGGTGCAGACATTGAAGCAGCCCAATAGTCTCCTACCGGGCCGCGGTGTAGCTCCGCCTCCAGTCGCTCAGTGTCAGTGGT